GCAAAAACCGCCAGATCGAAGGGTCTTCCTTTTCCCCTACAAAAACCTTCATTAGAATAGTGATTCTTCAGTAGACTAACAGCTAAAGCTTTCGAAAGGTGATGTCGCTGTGCCATGCGGTGTTGCATGACCTCGGTGGCAAGTGCGTTTGCGTGAGTCCGTGCCATTGAGGGAAGGAAAGCCTGCTGGTGTAAGCGCGGCGTGTCATGGTGGAGTTTTGGGGAACCTAATAAAAAAAATACCCCCAAAATCGACCATGTTGGTAGTTTAGTAGCGGTTTGAAAGGGCGGCAATTTAAAACCAAATATAAACCGAATTTAGGGGTTCGGACGTGGGGTTTTTTTAATTGGGGAGTGTTTATTAATAGGTACTCGGGATTATTTGGAACCGCTAGTTCTTATTGTGGTAGCTGGAGCCAGCGGGATTGGCCAAAAGGTGTTTGGCCACATGATTGAACTGCACCCATTTTCCACAATGCAGCCATATTTCATGTATATATATTATATATATATACATATAGTTAAACCCGAGCCCATTGGTCGTGAAAAATTGAACCAATATTCATATATAATTGACACGTTTGGTTGGGACAATCCAGCATTACATTGCAAGACTCATGCTCCGCCTTCGTCAGAAGTGCAAACAATGTTTCAAACCATTTTCGCTTCAGATCCTCATGATGTTTTTTGAGACCGGAAAGAAAAGCACTAAGGCTCCCACCAAAAAACGCATCAAACCGATCTGCTCCCGTCACCCAAGCTGCAAATTGGCCTCCAAAAAATTGACAATTGAGTCAACTATAGACTGGTGACATGACGGCCCGTTCTCGCGTTTCGCACCCCCCCCCCCCGTTTCACGACGTGGAAAAACAAGGGCGTCGATCCGAGCTCGGAGCTGCGGGCTGCGCTCCAAGGCGTCCTGATGGTGAGGCGATCGTGCAATTCCTCCCAGAGCTGTTCCTTCAGCAAGGGCTCGGGTGGAGACTTGGTCCAAGAGGCTGAGCGTAACTGAAAGGCTGCCTGCAGCTGCGAGGGACCCACGATGGGCGACCCGGGTGAAGGGAGATGATTTCAATGAAACCCCCAGTGAGTCTGTGACCCGGCAAAAGCGCTGAATTGGATGAATGAAGGGGTGTTGATCAAGGTGGGAAGCTGAGCATTTGTTCGGGGTGCTTAGTGTTGACCCACACATCGCTCGAGTGCTCAGGGATGTTCAGGGTAGAATTGAACAACCAATGCGCTGGACCGCTGGACATTGCTGGATTGCAAGTACCTGGCATCAACATGTTGCTTGATCATGGCCAGCCAGAGAAGTGTCCGGGAGCATTTCTGATCCAACCGAAAGCAGAAGAAAGCCCACCTGAGTTTTGATAGAGGCATCATGATGAAGACCTACCCCATCCTACCCCCAAAAGGGAAATGCAGTTGGCTGGATCCTAAATGAGTCAGGAGCGTGTAGTAGAAGCAGTCGGACTTGGCCCACGGGAGCTGCACGGAGCCAGTCTCACCCAGTCTCCACCCAGTCTCCATCAGCCACAAATCGTCTGAAGGGCGTAAGTGTGATTGAATGTTCCACCCCAGCCTGCTGGTGGTTTACCAGCGATCTTCTTACATCATCCCTTTCAAACTGACTGGTCCCAGAACCACGGCTATGAACATCCAGACCCACTGCCAGGTTGTGCACCTGACTCTGGACTGGACGAGTTTCTTTTTTGTTTCATGCCAATCAACCCCCTAGGCCGTGGCTAGGCGGTTGGGCGCTATATGGCAATGGCTTGGGCTCACGCGTGGCCTGCTTCCTCGCAGCACTCCACGGATCCTTCTTCACCCACGGCCTGCTTTTGGAGCGCCTGTGTTGGCACAACACAGAAGGTGGATGAAGGTGGTGTGTTTTTTCATGCGCTGGAGGGGTTTGCGAGAGTTGTAAGCAGCATGGAATGGGGGGTGACTGCTCGTTCAAAGCAAATACTGCGTTTGCGAATCTGGCATTGTGGAGTAGACAGGTTAGCCGTGTACAGCAGTGTACATCAACGATCAGATGGGTTCATGAAAGCATATGAAAGCTGCACTCCAGGGACTCCAGGGAGGGTTTTTATCTCGTGGAGGTTTTCAGATCAGCAAATGCCGGAGCGAGATTGATATGATTGATAGCGGTGCCAGGTTGTACCTGACTCACCCAGCTTTCCAGGCCTACTGGGCCTACCTCATGATCCACCATCAAAGTCACGTGGCAACCCAACCATCGATCCAGATCTGCCTAGGACCCCCTGGGCGGGCTCCTACGCGCCGGGAGCCCCGCCCTTGCCCGAGCCGCCCAAGCACACTGCGCTTGCCACCATGGGTTGCAACGCGGCAGGGGAGAGCCGGCGACTCGGCGCGGAGGATGACTCGGCGCGAAGCGAACGACTCGGCGCAAGTCGCAGGGCGGGGGGGAAGCTACAGGGGTGGGATTTAGACACTCATATGTATACGGCGTATACACAGAAAGTGAATGGAGATGGAGGGCACCTGACCGAAACTCCCCTCCAATTCATATAAGAATTTATAAGAACGGTATCTATCTATCTATCTATTTATCTATCTATCTATCCATCCATCTATCTATCTATCTATCTATCGATCTATCTATCTATCTATCTATCTATTCATATTCGGTTGTCTCGTGTTATTCATCTGATGGCGCTTTGGTTGCTGTCCTTCGACTCAGCTGTCCGAGCTTAGCTTGAGTCCAACGTATAGGATAAGTGGTGGATGTGAAGGTGAGAAGTGGATGCTTTCCACGTGCCCATTTCTGCTTGATCAAGCCGCCCTCAATATTCTGACAGTCACCCGATGTCACCCGATGAAGACCACGGGCCCTCCAGTATCCTTGTTAATTATTTTAAGGTAGGCTACCATCATTTATACACATCATCACTGACACATGCGTCGTGCACGCCGCGTTTTGCCGCGAGGTTCGGCAGCCGAGAGCTCCATTTGGCAGCGGCCGCCTTAGGACAGAAGGCACGGCAGCTGCTCCCAGGCGAGGGGTGCTGAGACGACCGGTGGAAGAGGTGAAGATAGGCGAAGAGTGGACTTGTTACTAGTAGTAGCTTCTTGCTACTAGAAGAGATGGCTTCCAACCTACTAGCGATGGCCTCCACCTAGTAGCTTCTTTCTACTAGATCTACTAGTAATGCCAGGAGCTACGTTCGTAGCCTCCTTGCTCCGTAGCGATGCCGCGATGCCCTTTGCTGCGTTCGTAGCCTCTGGTTACAGGAACACTGCCCTGTGGCAGCCTGTGGGTCCTGGTAGACCGTGTGCGTCAAGGATCCGGTTGAACCCGTTTTGGCCTTTGTAGAACAGCCACTGACGCCTACCCTTGTGTGCTAAGGGCCACTTGGATTCGCAGGAGCTCACCTAATTGGTGGTTGCCTACTCTGAAATCACTTTCAGTACATAAAGCTACAGTCCCTTAAGACCTACTAAGCTTTGCATTGTTTTGCTCTTTTAGGACAGTCTCCTACTCACTGCCTTTGATGTGCATGATGCCTGAATGTAAGGGCCACCAAGCACAGTGGAAGGGTGTCACCTCCTTCCCAACATATTTGCTTGTTTCGGAGTGGAGGGTGGGAATCGTGTGTTCTTTTGCTAAAACAACTTATCTAAAACAAAAAACATGACAGCCCAGACTGGACATTCATGGAATGGATCTTATCAAAGCAGCATCTTATTGTTGTTGGTTTTCATGTGCCGGGACCTTCAAAGACCTTTTGAGAACCCAGAATGAGGTCACTATTCTACTGCAAAGAGGTCACGCACTGAAGGTCCTGGTTTTCGGCCGCCAGGTCGCCCGGAAGCTGCGGCTCACTTCGCCTACGTGCGAGGCAACGAAGACCTGATCCAGGCGAACCCGAACTGCTTCGCGCCAAGCGCGGGGTGTTTGGATTTGGTCTGAAACCCCCTCCAGATGCAGGGTTTTGGTGGGGAACTCCGAGTTGGCTCAACAAGTCAAGTCTTTGGTTTTCCCATGATCAAACCGGCGAGCCGCGGCGAGCCGGAATTCTGTTCTTGGAGTATATATTGAGGTTGGCAATTTCAATCATCGTCGATTCGGCCTTTTGGGGTTGTTTCAAGACCTGCTGTACATGTCCGTCCTTTTTGGGGATGTGCCCGCACCTTTGCCCCGATCCAAAGGCCGCCTCAAAGGCCGCGCCCGCGTTGTTCATGATCGTCGACTGAGGCCTATGAGGGTCACGTTTTGATCCTCCATGGAGAGGTGGACCACCTGGTACCGCCCGAGCACGCGGTGCGCCTGCACCGGGCAGCGCGACGTGCCAAGTCCAGGCACGACTTCCCAGAAAAGCGGCTTGGGGGTAAGCATGTACAGTAAAAATTGATTAAACTTGAGAACATTGTAAGACTATTGATTGAGTATATGCTTTAAAGGTTGGGTGATCAGATTCGATCAGTTTCTTGGGAGGCATGTCTGACATCAACACGACCGGTTCCAAACATCAAGCTTTGGTTGTCTTCACATCCAGCAACACGACCGAGTGAATCTCATATTTTCTGCACGTTCTTAGAGTTTTCGGAATATAATCTACGCCGCTTGGAAGTTCTCATCTCCGGCTGCAGCAGCAGGCACTTGCTTCTGGCCAAGGGCAAGCGGGCAGATTCCCTGCCGGGCAGCCCCGATTACGCGGCGGCCTTGCACGGCTTCTTCGGGGGATCAAAGAGTTCGTGTGACACGTCGACGGACCGTGCAATCCAAAGGGGGTTTGGCATCCACAACATTCTACCGCTACAGGTCCAGCCCGACCAAGTAAAGCCTGGTCCGTAATACTTCAGTAGGAGTGTGTATAACCGTATAACCAACTCCAGTAAAATGAGGTCTTTGACGACCTGTATAAGTAGCATGGGACAGCATCGGGTTTGTCCTCTCCATGGGAGAGGAGTTCTCATGTTTGTGCTGACATGGATGTTTGTTCACAACATCGCCAGCGTCCGCCTCCGCTCCAGGAGACCTCCACACGCGGGCGGAAGCGAGCTTGACATGGCGGACGGCAGCCAAGGTCATGGTGAAGAATGTGTGGATTGGATGGTGAAAAACGTGAGGTCAAGGGTTTGGAGTTTAGATGAGTTTAGTTTTGTCCTTAAGGTTCAACCGTAGCACTGGTACTTTTCATAGTGACATAGTGCTACTGTAGCTGCTACGGATTTTCAATGGTTTGTCAGACCATTGGGAGGAACATTCCTAGCTGGCCTGGATGGCTTTTCTCCATAATAGTCGTATACTGTAACAGCCCATCATGATGTGTTTCTCATTGTTGTTTTTCCCTGATATAGACATCTTACCACAGAGCATCTACGCAGATCCCTTCAACGTGCATGGAGTTCGGTGCCCGTTTCACACCTCCACGTTTCACACCTGGGACTTTCCATCGACCGGACCAGGTCATTGCTCCGACCGGTCCGGGGGGCCCAGGGACCGAGCCGGTCGGTCCGGTGCCATGTCGAACGACCGGTCGGCCCCGTGGCAGTGGACACTGGCAGCTTCTTGATAGACAAGGATTTTGCTATACCTGACTCTCCTTGCATCTGCTGAACATCATGTTGGGGGTGTTTCAGAAGATAGTTGTTTTGTATTCGATGTTACAGTTTGTTACAGTTGTTTTACAACAAAACTTCTTGTAAGGCCTGAATCAAAAGAACTTACCCTACTGTGCCGCGGACTCCTCCCAAAAAAGAGAATCTACTGTATCTACTCACTTTGCCTCAGGAAAACGTGCCATTTACATCCATTTAAAACATACACGGTCGGGGTGGTTCATTAGCACGCCTGAAGCATCCTACCCAGGGCCATTCCTACCAGGAAAAGTGGAGAATGAGAGTGGATTGCGCAATCCCTAAATTTGGTGGATATGATTATCTAAACCACCAAACTATATGACAGTGGATTGCGTTTTTTTTCACATGAGTTTCGATGGACCCCTGGCCCGGCTGCCGACGGCGCCCAGCCACCCGACACCCTTCAGAAACGGTGGAACTGGAAGGAGTGCAGCTCCCACCCGCCCAACGTCGTGCAGCTCCCAGGAAGGCTCCGACGAGTCTTGCAGCAAGCGGTCGCTCGGCCGGCGGCTCCGGGGGCAGTGTCCGAGCGGCGTGGCGGTTTCTGAGATCCGCGGCGGAGCGGTTCGGAGGGGTTTGGGGGGGGCGAAAAGGTAAGGAAGAGCTGCAGAGTCTGGAATTTCTGAGGATTGTTGGGTGTTTTTGGATGATCTTGTTAATTAAACATGTTGTTTTGGAGAGTTGCAACATCCACAGACACTCAGACACTCCATATTGCTCCATGTATGGCCTACTTAGTTGCATGGGTTGGGTTCAGGAGTTGTAGCATACAGCATACACATTCCAGTCACGTTAGTTCGTCTCCAGATGAGGGACTGGCAGTGGCTTCAGCCGCTCTCCTGGCCAGGCAACGGCAAGAGGAATTTTTCAAAAGGAGCCACCGGATTCGGATCAGTAAACTTCCATCGCTAGAGAAGATCATGAATTGTTGACTGTTGATGGAAGAAAACAACCAATCCCTGATCAAGCCTGGAGATGTTGAACCCAAGTTGGAAGTTGGTTTTTATGTTGTTTTTCATGTTTTGACATCAGATCCTTTGGTCGTTTCGGACCTGAGTCGGTCTACCACAGTTCGTCGGCACTCCACCGACGAGCGGCCACGGGCCGGTGGAGTGGATGCTCTTCCGGCGGGCCCAGGCGGAGCTAGTACGGCGCCAGCGGAGACTCGAAGCTGCGGAAAAGACGGAAAAGGATGGAGTTCAGATGGATTGTATTTTGATGCATGTGGGAATTTGGGGTGTTTGTTACAGGGGTCGCTCAGGTTCCAGGTATGTTGGCAGGTTCACACGGGTGTTTAACGGTATACGATAGTTGCCGAAAGCAAAACCCTCTCGTTGTTTGAGCCTCCAACCTTGGTCATCAGATGTCATCAGGTACTCCTTCAGATGGGCATTACACCTTTGACCTTTGACGGCTATGCGATCAAGAGCGTCAAGCTGCACCAAGCTCAGCAGCACCAGCTCGCCCGTCCCGGGTAGTGATCAGATGTCGGCGTCGCCAAAATGTGACAACAGATGTGGCAGGTGGAGGCATGGATGTCCTTTTAGTTGAGTTTGCATAAACAAATAGAAGGGCTAGTAACTATATACTGCCCAAAAGTGTGACTGTGAGACAGGAGTTTTGGAACATGTGGCAAAATCAGAACAGGCATCTCACCGTGGAGGAAAAAAAGGTTGCCACGTGTTGTTACCAGCCATCCATGATCGGATGGTTGGATGGCCCTTCTAAAAAGGGTGAAGGTTTATTCTTTTGAGTACTACATAATTCAGAGCCTAGTGAGGGCATCCTGCACCAGAGAAATATATATATATTGATACAAAAAGACCTCGTATAATTCAATTTCATTCACAAGGTATTGCCCGTCTCTGGTGGTGCTGGAGTTCTTCCCAGTCAAACTGTGGTCGGACATCCAAGGGGGGTCGCATGAAACCGAAGACGGGGCCTCATCTCCGAGGTGGGGCCTCATCTGCAGAGACCTGCTGGCCTGTTGCAGAGACCTGCTGGCCGTCTCAACACTGACTGTTTAGGCTTTGGGCCTTGCTAAATGGCGAATGAGAATACAGGGCTTGTGTGTGTTTTCTTCTCACCCGGGTGTTATATTATAAGAAGCTTGAGGTGTTATAATGTGTTATATAACTTGTTTGGGTGTCTCCATGTATTTCTTCTCCCCCGGGTGTTGTTCGGGACGATCGGTGCGCCGTGCACCACTTCATGAGTTGACTTCCGGCACAGCTGGGCCCGCCAGGCGTGCTTTTACTTCCACAGGGACTCCACCAAGGATCGCCGGTGGGCCAGAACGAGGTGAAGCAAAAACCGATTCTTCTTTGAGACTCCAAAGAGGTCAGGCACCGAAGGTCCTGATGTGACCAGGCTTTTTTTCATGAGGATGGACGAACTTGGCAACGACCCCCGTCTACACTCCTCACTCACATGGAAGTGGATGGCGTGGTCCTGAAAGGACTGCTTTCCTTAAACATGGGGTTGCCTGCCTCCGAAAGAGGTCCGAAAGAGGTCCTTTCGATGGTCGCGGCCGGCGACCGCGGGTCGCGTGAGGTCTTTTGCCCAAAGTGTGGCAACGACACGGTGGTGCGAGTTCCCATCCTCGTGGATCAGGCCATGTTCGCAGAGCGTCCGGGAACTTGCGCAGAGCGTCCGGGAATGGGTGGCAGTTTAAGGGAGAAATCAGGACATGTTGAAACAACATGAGTGCGATAAGTGAGGGTTGACGGTGTTTTAGGACGTTGGGACAATGCTGCGCAGTACCTTTGAACTCAACACCCATGACTAACACACTGTGTCGGGAGGCTGTTCTGCTTTGGTGTCGAGGTGAGTTGTTTCTCTTGGATGCTTTGGGGATGTGAGCCCCTCATTCCTGTTGAATGAAGATTTCACTTCACTCCGGACTCTGGCTATAGTTTGTGCTTCCTTCACGCAGGCCATCTTACAGCTTTCCAGCTACTTGCAGCTACTTCCAGCTTTCCAGCATGTGACCTAGACACGACAGCTGCCTGTGGGTCACCGGGCAGGCAAATACGTGGGTCCCCCGGGAGTCCCCCGACAAGGAAGGGCGGCTATGGAACCTCATGGATCGTGGTGGCTTCTGGTGTAAAACAAGGACAAGGTGTGACTAGGACAGGCAATGGACCCCTGTCGAGAAAGAGACGCTACACATGTGAGTCCTGTGAGATGTATCTTTGTAGGAATGCCCTTTCCCAGCTTTCCCCGCTTCTCATTGCGTGTATTTTCCCCAAGCAGTGTGGACACACTTGGGGTTCTTACGATACTAGTTAAACTCTGGGATTGATCGATGGCAAATGTGATGATTTTCCAGAGATCTTCGATGTGCATTTTGACTGCACAGGCTCGCACAACATGGTGGTCCTGAGCTGGTTCTTTCCTTTCACTGCGCTCTTGTTGTGGTGCCGTGCACATTCTCCGTTCACTTTTGGCAGGCGCAAGGGAATCCTCATGCTTCGGTGGTCTGAAGTCGGTGCAGGAGATCGGAGCCGTTGTGCATCGGAGCCCTTTGGATTTCGTGGCAGGCGCCGCGATTTGCTCTGATTTTGTGGCAGCAGAGAGTGTTAAACCGTGGAGTGTGGCTGGTTTTCTAGCGCAAAAGCTGGCATCTCGAACGCGTGGTTGAGAGTGCTTTTGTTGGGGAACGCTAGCAGGGCTGCGCTCTGTGAGCCATGATGCGGCACTTTGGACCGCAAAGTGCAGATTTTGTGATATTTGATGCTTTGTCATGCAAAAGATCGCTGCTCCAGTGCTCCAGTAAGTTGTGCAAAGTGCCGTGGTTCTACTGAACATTGTTTAGGGCCTCCTGCCGGGATACTTGCTCTTTATCAAATGGGATCAAAATTTGGTTGGGTACAGAAAATCTAGGTATGGGCCCCGCCTTCGGGGGTCCATGCAAACATGTTCCATACCCTATAGGACTCCTGTGCCACGCGCGAGAAAACAGATCGGGGTGTTTTGGGCCCCCCCACCCGGACCCAGGCGAAGGTCGATCTTTGTCCCCCGCCAGGATGGGGTGCCGACGGTGCTCAACTCCGGACGCAAGTTGAGGCCGGTGGCGGGACCGAACCGGGGTGCAAGGGACCAAACGGGGGCGGCGAGAGATCGGAATTGGTTTGTGCGTTTTTCTTGCGTTTCATATGGAATGGATTCAATTCCAATGTTTCTATTTTTTTCTGGCATGGTGTCAGCGAAAAGTGGATTCTTAGAGGGTTTGGACTCAGAATTGCAGTCGGAACTGGAACACTTTCCCGTTCGAACATCAATCAACACTTGCAACAAGCAGTGGCTTTCCAGATGAGTCCAGGTTGCTGTGTGGGCTTCAATGGTGGGTGTGGGGTCGCTGTTTGCATTTTTCGGCCCAGGACGAAAGGCACCGTCTTTTCCATGCCCAAGCCGCAGGGCGGACGGGTGTGGAAGCCGATCTTCGCCGAGGACGTTGGAGCGGATGGTAGATGAAGGGGAAGGGTCGGAGGGTGGGGAGCTTGGCCTGGCCTGGGAGAGCTTGGCCTGGCCTTGCAGAACACATTCAGCTTCAAGGACCGTGAATTGGTCGGTGTTCAAGGACTTAAGGATACTTAAGGTATACCTTGTCTGGCAGCTCGCCGGAGGCTTTCGGGTGCTAAACCGGTTTTGACATGGATTCACAGCTGCTCGCTCTGCAGTTGCGGGGGAAAACCTCCAACAAACAGAAGACCATGCGGGAGGGCCTTTCTCAGGTCCTGTTCCACCAACCACCGGTGTCGGGATCTCGACGGGAACTCGGTGTCGGAGTCGAGGAATCTGAAATCACATCTCACCCTTACGGTCGGCTGAACAGCCGACCGTGGTGAGAACACCACGGTCGGGACCTTGTTTGGTCGCTCATGTCGGTATACAACAGACCTCCACGAGCTGCTGGAGCACCACCGCAGGAGTTCCTGGATCACTTCGGGAGGGCTAGAGCACATTTGAGAACAGATTGATGCATTGCGAGGTTGGAGAAGACATTTGCCAGGATTCTGTCAGGTGCCATCAGGTACCAAGCGTCCATCATGAGGAGTGAGTAGTGTTTACCTTCGGCATCCTTGCCATCAGTTGAACAAGAAATGGTTGTTGTATGTGAACAATCATACGATCATGGTGTCCTAGTAGAGCTTTGTTTTTTGGCTTGAAGGAAGCAAGCGGCCAAACTGCCAAACTCGAGTGAAGTTTCAGCTGCTTCCTCAAATAAACAGTCACGACATGTCAAAATGCAAGGTTCTCGTGTGAGCATTCTGAGTCGGGTACTGTTGCCCTAAGAAGCTACTTGTGACATGACCTGTGACCCGGTCGCCTCAAATGCTCGGCATCTCAGCCTCACACATGAACGGGGAGAGGAGAGAGCCTGAACAACTATTCAACTACATGTAGACTACATGTAATATAGTTATCAGTAGTTGATGAGTTAACACACACACACACACACATGTACGTAGTCTTTTTTGGTACGTTCACTCCAGCTCTGCAGCACCCGGAATCCAGACGCTTCGGATCCACGCGCCTCACGCGTCACGCGCTGGACTACGCGTCACGCGCATGGCGAGATGAGATGGTCCTCTCAGCCGCTCGGTGAGACTGCAGACCTTGCAGGGTACGGAGAGTGAGACCCAGGAAGATATGTTTTCTCCCAACACTCATGGCTATACGGTAGCATGGCCCCTGAAGAGACCATGTTCCGAACAATTACCCAACAGGGGGTGAATTCCGCTTCCATGTTTAATGTTTGTGCAGGGATGGTAGCATGTTTGAGCCTGGGTCAATCGGTTCTGCCAGCTGCTACTGCTGGTAGCGCATGCTAGCGCATGCTAGCGCACTAGCGCATGCTAGCACTAACTGCAAGCTGCTGCCATGTTTCTTTTGGGGACAGCAAAGTGTAGTGGGGAGAGGAGCAAACGGCATGGAGGACCGGAGATGTTGACTCAGGTGATGTGTTTTGGAGGCCCTGGAGCACCATAAACCAAACCGGTGGACCCAGGGGTGCAACAAGGAGAAACCAGTGATAACATGTGAGAACCAGTGTATTCAGAAAAACAATAGTTTTGTTTGCAATACATCGGGTGGACCAACAAAAACATCGGGCTTTGGCCACAATGTTTGGTAGTTGAATGTCGTTTAACATGTATTAGCATGTTGAGAATCCTGGTGTCAAAAAAGAACCGTACTTTAGCGGTACCAATCCATATGGATTAGTCTAAAGAAGCTGTCGATACAGAATACACATGGATGCTCACCCTATTTCATCCTCCTGACAGTCTGACAGAATATTGTGTGCAACATGGTTAAGCTCCATAGCCTCGGTGCACCGATCTGAGGGTGGTTCCAGCCTCAGCAGCAGCCAGCGGATCGTGGCCGGGCCCGCCCAGCGACTTCTGATACTACTAGAATACTAGAACACTAAGTGAAAGATGCCTATAGACTTAGACATCAACTAAGTTTCAAGAATCTGGGGATCTCTTGGGACTACCTTGGCTACCTCAAAAAATATATAGTCCCTTGCAAGACAATTTTCCTTGATGCAGGGGGTTGTCCACTTCCATGTTAGTTAGAGGGAGGCGAATTCCTGACCACCTGAGGATTCAGAGGTTGGCACTGTTGACATGTTCGGCCAAAAAACGTGCGTTGAAATACCCATTGACGCTCTGTGGATGGCATTGAAGGGCTCAACACTGCGTTTCTTAAAGTGTTGGAGCCACTGACTCCTACTTCTAGGCCAACATCGTGCAACTCCAGTGTAAAACCATGTAAAACCACTCGGGTTGACCAGTTCCTGGTCCACACTGTGCTTTGAACATGTTCAAACACCACAAACCAGACTCAAAGAAGCTAGCATGATGCATACCTCTAGGCCGAAAAGCCGGCCGTACACACATGTACGTAGTATGAAACTACTCCAGAAGACCATCTCATGCCCAGACACTCCATGTATGCCATATATGCCGCCCCATTGACCACCCCAATGTAGACATATATATGGCAGTCCCATGGAGTGTTTGGGATGTGTTTGATTGACCTTCGCAGCCTTCGCAGCTCGCCAGCGCCTTGTTCGCCAGCGAGGCCTTGGGCGGCGAACGCCGGGCGCCGCAGCAGCTGTCCGAGGCCGGGTGGTGGATTGGAAGAACCACGCGCCGTTGGTTTGGGGGGTAGCTAGAACCACGCTTGGAAGAACCAGCCAGAATCCCGGGCTTCTCGGATCCCTTCTTTTTTTGGGGTTCCCGTCTGAAAAGATCGGCCACCAAAAGGGCTGCCATTGGCATTTTCCGATCTGTGCGGTTGTTGTGTTTTTGGTCGTTGGACGGTCCGTCGAACGGAACATCCGTCGCGACCTGAGGAGCTGTTTGGGACTGGCGACCGATCGGTTGGTGTGGTTGAAAAGAGGTCATAGTTACGATAGGTTCCATGGATTAGGGCGTTCGGAGGCGTGGGTTTCAGCGTGGCGAACGCCTGGAAGTGGCTCACTGGAAACTCCCTGCGTGTGGTTAGACACTGGTCGAGACCAGGTTTCTCCTTTTGGGATCTTTTGGGGGTCGGGGGCGGTGGGCGGCCTGCTATGTTCGGAGAGAGTATCAGCGGGGGGTCTTGTAGTCAAAAGGGGCGTGGCCTTGGGCTGGATGAAAGGGACCCACCGACCCCCCCACACGACATGAGTTCACCTCAGCTCACCTCGGCCTCATCCGGGTGGTTGGTGTATGGTGCGTGCTGAGTCGAAGGCGCAGCGACCGCGCAAGACGCCGCCGAAATACCCTTGGTGACATCGAATGCAATGACTTCCTCCTGTTTCGACAGTCCATGGGACGGGCAAAAACATCTCGCAGGAATGAGGCAATGCATGAAGTGATGACAGGACGGAATCTGCTCATTGAATCAAGGGTTCTTTTGGCCCGGATGCTGTTGGGAGTGGGATTTGCACAAACCTCCCATCTCAAAAGCCAATATAAGCCAATGCTTTTCTTATAACTTATAACTTTACAACTTTGAACCTAATAATGACAACTTGTGGTCATTTGGGGAGTAGTTCTTGTAAGAAACTGCAGCCTGATCCGACTTTGGCCTTCAGTCTGCCGGCAGCCTGCCAGCAGACTGCCGGCCAAAAGCCTCTCCCGTCCTTCGCCCGGGAAGGGTCCAAGCACATGCCTCTCCGACCGCAGGTCCGCAGGAGGTTTGTTTCCAAGCCCAACCCGTCGATCCGACCTGCCCCGGTCCAACGCGTCCCAGTGGCTGCGCCCATGGCGAGCGATCTTCCTATCATGGACACCTGTGGCCTCTCGGAGCGATCGAAGACCCGCGTGTGTCCGAGCGTTGGGAGCGTTTTCTTCTTTTTTCGGCGGTGAGAAGATCATCAGGAGATGCGACAGAGACCTCTCGGGAGAGCGACTTTCCGGGTTCCTTCGTCGGTGTCAGCGATAGAGGGTGAGATCTCTGGAGACGAGACAGATTCGACGATGACGAGTGCAACCCAGGTTTTCCAATGACGATGCCATGGACAGTTGTCGTTGAAAGAGGGTTTGTCCTCAAATGTGGTAACGCAATGTAACGCATTGTATGCCATGAGGCGCCATTCTCTTAAAAACAGCTTGGGAATGTGGGAATCCCGGGAGACTCTTTCCTTTTGCTTTCACCGGACGTCACCGGACGTCACCGGACACTTTGCGACCCCACGCAACATGCCAAGACGCGCGCCGAGACTGGCCACCCTCCACGCCCCTCACCGACTCGGACGACGAGTTTCACATCGAGTCCTGCTCGCCCCTGGCGTATCGTGCCCGGAGCCGCTTCATCCAACGCAATGGCCGCCGCCGGCTCCGGCGCACGGTCGACGTGATGATCGAGGAGAGCCGGATTCGGATGCTGGAGCTGAAGGTGGAGCCGCGTCTCCGTGAGCAGTTCCAGCCAATCCATCTGGCTGCGCATTTGGGAGACTTGGCACTGAAATGTGGCGGGTGGTGTGACAGATTGAGTAGTAGCCGTGTGACAAGCCACAGGACAGATGTAGTGAGACCCAAATGAGCGGGCGCTAAAGATCCGGCAAATAAATGCCCTTGAAAAATGAAATCATGATCCACTGCAGCGCCGATGCCAAGTTGCGTCTAATTACCAACCCGGACCCTACAGACACGTTGCATCCAGTCTTCACTCCGGCAATTCGATTTCCGTCTTGCAACGCAACTAGGAGACCATCAAGCGCTTTGCTTTCTGCTCCTGGACGGTGCTGATGTCGAGCAGAAGACCTCCAAAGGCAAGTCAGCCTTGGATCTTGCTCAAGCTGCGAACCAGCAGGGTTCTCACGACCAGGCCCACCGGATGTTTCCACAAGTGGACCATGTTGCCAATGGCCAATACCAATAGACAGAGAATGATACAGATAAGAACAACAAAGAGGGGAAAGGAAAGACTGATAAAACATGATAACACTATATACAAGATTTAATGTAAAATATATAAGAAGAAGAGATGAAAGACATGTTAACCAACATAGAAAAATATGTAAACATGAATGAACGTTATTCGGAATATGGATTTATTATAAAGAAACATAAGAGAATGACATCTTGTATGTTTAACCGTGAATGTCACCTTGACAATCTTCTATGAAACATCGCATTCATATCTTTGATGTAGCCATGGCCTAGTAGGTCCTGAAGTATCACTGCAGCGCATGCAGGTGATTTCCATGCTGACCCTGCGGGCCTTGCCTAGCTGGGAAGATCGCCTGCTCGAGCAATTGGATGTTAGCAGATGATTGATCTCATTGCGTGCTTGGCAAACATGGGAGATTATTGATCGATTTCTCCATTGATCATTCTATGATTGATCAGGGCGTGTATGTGAAAAATGGGGAGACCTTCAACCAAAGGGACTCTTAGTCTATCTATGTCGACTTTTGCCTTGAGAACCCGGGGTCATTGGGAGGTGTCCCTATTGTAATACACACCTGATTCACCTGATCATGACTTTTCCTTAATTTCTTCATATTCATCGGCCGTCTTGGGCCTAGCGGACCAGCCTATTATTAGCCTTATCGACTACTGCGATTGAAGGCTGAGGCTTGCCGCTTGCATCCCGGACTCCCATCTGTACGAAAAAGAAATGCTTAAACACACCAATGACCTTGCCAATGGGCTTCTCCTATACGCTTCATGACAGCGGATGACACTTGGCACTTCGCATCAGTTGTGTAAGGAATTTTACTAGTTTTTGAGATTTGTCAAGATGCGTAATGCTTTCGGAGCCACCACGGCGAGATTGGAGGTGCAACTTCTACTGCTTGTGCGTGCAAAAGTATGCATAATTCAATAGATGTCAAGGCATAGCCCGCTTTCCAACAGTTAAGTCGGTAAAGTGTTTGCCATGGGGAAATTGTTGTCAACTTTGTGAGAGACTCTTCAATTCGGGTCACTTTTTCGTCACTTGGGGGCTTTGGGGCAGACCAATAATTACTGTGCCGCCATTTCCCCTCTCAGCTGCCTCTTGGGCTGTGTGTGGGTGAAGGGCGCAGAACGTGCATTTCGAAGTTTTTGTAACAATTTTCAATCTTGCAATTTCGGTATGGCTTCGAAGCCTCAAAGCATCAGCACGAAGACAGGTGTATAGATCGAGGGAACATGAGACAAATTTTAGTCCAGAAAATCTGGTCGGAGCCAAACCCATCATACAGCATCGTTCACATATTTTCACCACATGCCTATCTCTGGCAGAAACAGGCGGCGTGTGCGAGATGTCCGCTGGCTACCATGCTGCTACATGTTTCTGAAGGTGTTGGGTCTCAAAGGGTTTTTGGTACCCGATGAGTCTTCCATTCACCCAATGTCAAATGTTCATGATTTGAGGAGTGTCCAATATTACTCTCCAACAAACATGGATCTCGGAACTTGAACGTGCCTTGTGGAAGACGATTTTCCTCTCTCGCTGGCCCGGCCAACAACAACCAGAGTCAGACATCCAAAGAGATCCGAAGAGTGTAAACATACGGAGCTCCAGGAGCTCCAAGTTGTGGTGCTGAATTGATGGACGGACCTCCCTGGCCTGTGCCTTGCACGATAGTACCGGGTCCTTCACTGGAGGGTTGGGTCCTCAATGGTCCTAAGGCATTTGGTGAGCTGAAGATTTGCTGGGAAATGTGCATGGATGTTACATGATGTTACCGGCATTCTGGGAAACCTTTTTTTCACTACCCTGATTGTTACAATTCTTCCTTTAAACAGTGCGCCTGGCTGGTGATTGCATGCGACGGGGGGTTGAGATGGGTTCAGTGTTTCTCTAAATGCGCACGGCCACAAAAAGATATCAAACATAAATATGCATATAGCATTATATATAGGAAGCTCAGCATTTGGCCATGTCCACTCTCGCAGTTGAGAACTGATGTGACTTCACTTTCCGCAGGTGGCTCAGGTTCGTGACACATTTGACAGGATTGCGCCAAATCCCAGCCTTCAGGACGTAAAACATCCTGAACGGCTGAACGTTCCAAGTCAAGAGCTTTACCTGTTCCGCCTTTTGCCAATGGAGCTTTGGGATCATCCCACGATGAACACGAACTGCGGTCTCTCAGATCTTCCAACATAGAGAGAGGGAGTGCGGCAGAGATGTCCGTATTGCATACACTCCACAAATGACATGTATGCTTCCCTGAAACCACCCCAACGTATGCAACATTTGGCATACATGGAGTGTTTGGATGGCTTCTGTTTGGTCAATCGGCCCTCCAGTGGGAAGTGATGAACACAACGCCAAAGTCTTTCGGGGTCACACAGACCGTGCCTTCTTCTCACAGACCGTGGCCTTTGGCGCGAGAGTGGGGAAGAATGGCTTTCCAACTTTCCAACTAGGAGCAAGGACCTCCTGGCCTTACTACTAGTAACATCATGTAACATCTAGTAACAATGTTCGCTACGAACGGGGCTCCTGGCATCGCTACGAACGGAGCAGCGACCCCCGATGCGCCAAGACGCGCGCCGAGACTGGCCACCCTCCACGCCACTCTCCGACTCGGACGACGAGTTTCACATCGAGTCCTGCTCGCCCCTGGCGTATCGTGCCCGGAGCCGCTTCATCCAACGCAATGGCCGCCGCCGGCTCCGGCGCACGGTCGACGTGATGATCGAGGAGAGCTGGATTCGGATGCTGGAGCTGAAGGTGGAGCCGCGTCTCCGTGAGCAGTTCCAGCCAATCCATCTGGCTGCGCATTTGGGAGACTTGGCACTGAAATGTGGCGGGTGGTGTGACAGATTGAGTAATGATTGAGCCGTGTTCTAATATGGAATAGTGATATTTCCCAGCTGTGACAAGTTCTGGTGCACTGGCCCGAATCATTCACTGATAGATTTGATATGAAGATATTCCTCCGGCAAAGCCAGTGGGCGGATGTTTCAACTACAACAACTACAATACAGTATATAATCAGTATATATAATTAGAGTTATAATAACAGTTGCGATGTGACTGATGAGACTGAATTATAACTTGTTGTGCGTTGCCTGGTCACACGATGATGTGTGACATGATGGCTCTTGATGCTGTGATGTCTCTGAAGCGTGAAGTGTGTTGCAGTTCTTTCTTGATGTGTTGAGGTGAGGGTGTATAGTTGTCAGTGTAATGATCATGCAGGGAGTGGTCATGAGTGGGTGAGTCTCCGAAACCAGTGGCGTGCTGATGCGTGCTGTTCGTTCGCGCGAATGTCGAGTTCACAATCTGTCACTGTTCGCGCGCCAGCGAACGGGTGCGCGTCGCTGCCGACTTGCCTGTGGGATGGGGTCAAAGTGGTGAGCTGCGAAAACCCTTGTGACCATCGAACATCTGGGACACACGACGACCGACTACCCGTGTGGGGGGGTGGGTTTGGGAACGCTACTTGGCATATCTTGGCATAGATTCCACTTGCCTTACACATCCTTACACTACCTGCTGTCGCCTCTGATGCATGGATTCCACCTGCTGTGAGGGCCTTTTTCTTCTGAAAGGCGAAGGTTTGACATGCACATGCATCCCGAAACATCCCACACCACCATCCCACACTACCATTCGCCCTCGAAAACAGCTCTTAAATAGCGGACAAACCACACACTTGAGAAGGTTGCTCCGTGGAGCGGGTCTTCAGTCGGTCCGCGGTGAGCATTAGCCCTTTAAGATTACTGCAAGTTAGACCTTGACTGAAAAAATGTGCAAAGTCGGTCGAACAGAATTGTTGAAACATCGAATGAATATTAAAAATTGAAAATTGAACAGTGCAGGTACGCTGGGATGATCAGTCCCAGTATCACCAAGGCTTAGAGAGCGTCTTCGTTGGTGGTAGACTCTCTGCCTTGCTACCACCCCCTGCATCTGTACAAGGTGGAAAAAGCGGTCAGAAATAGATAGATAGATAGATAGATAGATGGATTAGTTCCCTTCGAAACAGGGGTTGACACACACAAGAAGCCGAGGCGGCGCACTAGTACTAGTCAGGGCACAACTCAATGCTTTGCTTTTTCAGTCATTTATCCAGTCTGCTGAGTCTTGTTTTTTTCTTTTCCTTTTCCTTTTTCTTTTGTCTCTTCTTTTTCTGCCAGGGGGTGAAGGGGTGTTCGGGCGTGCATTGACTAAACGAGCCTGGATGCCACCTAACCAGCCTGAAGAAAAGAACAAGACAAACGAAAAGGCAAGGAAAGAAGAGAAAGGTGCAGGGGGTGCGGGGCCGGGCAGGGCGTGCGTTGACTAAACGAGCCTGGATCATACCTAAAAAGCCTGAAGGAAGGAACAAGACAAACGAAAAGGCAAGAAAAACAAGCAAAGGTGCAGGGGGTGCAGGGCAGGGTGGGGTGGATGCTCTTACGAGCGAACGGCACGGGCCCATAGGCACTGTCCGAGAAGCCGAATTGGCGCTTTGTTAAAAAGTAAATTGGAACAAGGAAACATCTCCGGGGTGAAACAGTTGCAGTTGAACTCTGCAGTATATTTCAGTGTAATTACAGTGAACTCTGCAGTAAAACTTCACGTGTGCAGGGTGAGACATTCCAAGCAAGCTGATTTCGAGCAAGAAAATTCAGTCGAGAAAGCTTCAGAAAGATTTCAGAAATCTTACTCCTGCGGTGAGGAGTGAAAAGGTTCTTGCAGTAACGGCGCCCCGTAGGGATCACACAGCTTACCACTGTGGGAAGAAGCTGCGGAGACACACTTGAGAAGGTTGCTCCGTGGAGCGGGTCTTCAGTCGGTCCGCGGTGAGCATTAGCCCTTTAAGATTACTGCAAGTTAGACCTTGACTGAAAAAATGTGCAAAGTCGGTCGAACAGAATTGTTGAAACATCGAATGAATATTAAAAATTGAAAATTGAACAGTGCAGGTACGCTGGAATGATCAGTCCCAGTATCACCAAGGCTTAGAGAGCGTCTTCGTTGGTGGTAGACTCTCTGCCTTGCTACCACCCCCTGCATCTGTACAAGGTGGAAAAAGCGGTCAGAAATAGATAGATAGATAGATAGATGGATTAGTTCCCTTCGAAACAGGGGTTGACACACACACACACCCCCTAGCTGCAACATTTAATCTGTTTATAACTTCGAAGATTCTCTTCGAGATTTCCTTGATGACTTGATAAGCATTGATAAGCTTTAAATTGTCCAGCCCAGATGGATGCGGACAAAATGGGGGGCCACTGCAACACCGATGCCTCGTTGCGCCTACTAACCCGAAGACACGTTGTATCCAGTCTTCACTCCGGCAATTTGAATTCCATCTTGCAATGCAACTAGGAGACCATCAAGCGCTTTGCTTTCTGCTCCTGGATGGTGCTGATGTCCAGCAGAAGACCTCCAAAGGTAAGTCAGCCTCGGATCTTGCTCAAGCTGCGAACCAGCAGGGTTCTCACAACCAGGCCCAACGCTTTTAAGTCCACAAGACCTTGAAAGCATTGAGTAGACTCAGTAGACCATGTTGCCAATGGCCTGAACACACTCGGCCTTCCAAATGTTTGTGAAGCGGAAGTAGCATAAAATCAATCATAAATCAGGGCCCCCGAAGGAGTGTTTATTGATGGGCCCTTAAGGGTATCCATTTACAACCTATTGTGGGTCCTGGAAACAATTTATTATGCCATTTGTCGCTTTACCCAAACAAGGAGACCTAGGTCCTTTGATAGCTCCTGCAGGTGATTTCCATGCTGACCTTGCGGGCCATGCCTAGCTGGGAAGATCGCCTGCTCGAGCAATGGATAGTTGCAGATCATTGATCCCACCATGTTTTATTCATTTGGAAAGGATATTTTTCCATGATTTATTTTTGGTGTTTCATTGTGCGCAAAGCCCTTGGCTTTGCAGGTTTGCACAGCTTTTGCTGTGCTAGTTCAGTAGGTTCTTGTTTGCTTCCTGCAGCCTGCAATGTGTTTATATGGGGAAGGTACATATATTGTACCTGGTTTCCTTTTTCCAAATATCCCTTGAGCTCGCATGCTCAAAGACTCCAAGACCGCCGCGCGGAAAACGCTTCTTCGACAGCGAGGAGACTCGGAGGGATTTTTCAATCGAACAGAACGAACAGAACCCGCCCAGTCAAGATGAATTCATCCAAGCCTGCGATTCGGACTGGGATCGGATGAATCCCTTAATTTTTCTCTTCGGTCCATCATTTCAGATGTGACATGTGCATGTCACCATGTCGGAAGGTTGATCGGTATACTTTTGGTATACATGTAGTATCTTAGGGAAATATGTCGAAATTATATACACACCAGGTAAAGAGGATTCGCCGAAGATAAAGATTCGAGTTGAGAGGGCTCGTAGAGACTTGTTGTGGGTTTGCTGTTTTGCCGAATAATATATAGAAGAATGCCTTAAAATCGGTATGTTGCAACTTTTACAGTGGACGGTGATTGCCAGCGTTTACAGACACAACAACAGACAGCGAATGCCCCGCTGGTGCCGCAGTGGGCCATGCACCGGTTACATAGTGCGCTAGGGTCGAGTCCGGTATCGAACCTGAGAAGGTGGCAGTGGATCTCGAGGGATCGGACACCTCACTCACGTCTGGTGGATAGTTCGGTGATGTTCGGTGAACCTTTCTGTTCCGGAAACAGCTCGAGGGCCAGACCCACATCATCAACAACATGAGGTTTCTTTGCGGCCAAGAATCATTGTCTTGAGCCGCTATGAGACTGAGCAAACACAAAACGAGGGTGTGTGTTTTTGCCAGTGGAACCCAGTGGCACACCAAACCAAACAGGTTTCCTGCTCAGCCAATATGAAAAGATTAACAGAGTAGTTTTACAATGTTTTACATCATTTTTACAGTTCAAGCCCATAGTACAATCCAATAATCATGGATTCTTAATGCATTCACTAAGCATCGATTTCGTCCTGATTTGTTCGGCCCGGTCAACTTCATCGTGCATGAAGTCACCTTGTCACTGCAGGGCTGCCGCTGGGTGGGCGGCCAGGCGAGGAGTTGACACGCGAGACACCCGCGTGGGCTGTGAGAGCTAGACACCCGCGTGGGCTGTGCGAGCTCAGTAGATGGCGCCGGCTGTGACACCCGAAGCGTTTTTTTCTTGTTTTCTGTGTCGGGGTACAAGACAAGTCATCAAGACGGCATAAGCCTACTTGTATGAGCTTTATTGCGCAATGTGTTTCAACAAAATGTTTGGTCGGAGTCGGAGAGCAACACCACATGTTGGAATTGGAAGGTCCTTGTTTAGGTAATTTGATGCCATCATGTTTGTAATTATCATCATATTATCCAAAACCCGGACGGTCGCTGGAATTCACGGAAAGTGTATCTTACCACATCTTACAGTACCCAGGATCTCAGTTTGTATCAGAACTTGGATTTCAGGGCTCTACGATCTACCCCAGACCATATCCGTGTATGGAATAGTCATGGATGGGTCATCAATGGGGTTTTCAGTATGCAACCATGACATGCCATGACATGCACGATCTGGATACACTTGGTTCGTTTGACCACCACAACAAAACGGAACGCTTCAGACGGAGCCCTGTGTCGACTGCCGACCCCGTTGGGACACCCCACCATTTGGGCGCAGCAAAGATTTTGGACTCAAATACGCCTGATTATCCCTAATTCTGGATGCGATCTCGAGCTTGGAGATTTCGAGGTTCCTGGCGTTGAAGATCTGCGAGTCAATCTGTCCATCAGTGATCATCAGTGGTAGGGTCCCTTCAAAAGCTGTAAAGGAAAGTAGTCTTCCAAAAGATCATTTTCCGATTCCATGTTAGTGAGTAAAGGAAGTGGAACACCCCGGAACACCCCTGTTTGTAAAGGAAAGTAGGTCTTCCAAGACCATGCCATCCACTTCCATGTGATGTGTTCGTCAGAGTGTAACTGATCTGTGCAGAGACCCTCCGTCCAGGACGCCGAGATCGATGCCTCTCTCGTGAGCACGGGAGCCATAGGAGGGTGGGGGGGGGGGGGGTGGTGGGACTGGCACACCTTGCGTGGGAGCAACCCCACTACACCCTCCAACAGGTCTCCGAAATGGTGGCTTTTGCAGACTTTAACAGTGGCAGGTGGTGACCTGTAGAGTGGGGTGCTGGGTATGCTTCGCCCAGCGAGTTATGTCATTTGCCATATGAAGATCCTGGTCAAAATCATGGCTTGCAGAGGGTGAACAAGGTGCCATGCTGAGCAACGCTTCGATGGTGAAGTCCTGTACTGCTTTGAAGGGAAGTGGATTGACCTGCAGTGATGAGAAACCTGTGAAGGTCATGAAGACAACTGACATTCGGAGGGCGCCCTGGGATAAGGATGCTTTGATGGTCTTTGATGTGGAGTCAGCTGGCTGAGTGTAATAGAATGATCTAGAAGATGGTGGACTGAACCAGACACTCCATGTTTGGAATATATGCCGCCCCGTTGACCCCCCAAACCACCCCAATGTAGGCATATATGGCAGTCCCACGGAGTGTTTGGATAATATTGATTAAGAATAACAATGAAAACAATCATCATCAGCATCAATTCAGGGATCTCCGAAACCTTTCAGTTGACCAGTTCATTTCATTCACTGAGACCTGAGCCACCCACAGCAGGCGTACACCGCAGATAGGTCTCATGGACCCTGAGAAGAATGACCCGGGGGCTTCGACCCTTGGGGATCGGATTTGGAGTGTCAGAACATGATCTTCACGACGAAGAACATGCCCACTCAAATGCTACGCCCAGCCCCAGAGAGGAGACAGTTGTCAGCGATGAAGACACTATTCGAGATCATCCATGGAACCAGCACCTTCCAAAGGCGGTCATCGTGTCCTTGTTCGGCTTTTTCATGCAGAAAAAGACCTCGTCGGATCTGAAAAAACGTCGTCGCTTCACCGGTGACCGAACGTCGGAGATCCAAGGAGTTCGTCTGTTCTTCTCCCCGGTCCGGAGGGTCCGAACCGGAACCCGGAACCGCCGCAGCGACCGGTGCGGGGAGCTCAAAGTAGATGCCGATCAGCTGGGGTGGTTGAAAAGGGGTCAATGATTCCTATAATATCTAAGATTATCTAAGATATATTCCGATTCCATGAAATATTCCATGCCCTGGAGTGTTTGGGGGCTGGTCAGCTCTGGTTTTGATCCGAACGTCCCCCCTATCCTGGCCCTCATTTGGCTGGCCATCTCAGGCGAGTGTGCGGAAGGCACCGAGGGTGGCAAGGTCACTGACCTGCCGGGGGCCGATGGAGACTGGACCCACAGAGCGACGTGACTGCTTGACCAGATCCAAGTCGTTTGCTTGAACATGTTGGACTCCTTGGATGGGACCAGCTGAGCAGCTGAGAAACACGTGTTGCTTGGAGCCTCCATTCAGTACTAGATGCTTGGCACGTTCCAACTTCGAGTACAGATGTTTAGCGCGTGATGTCAGTCGCAGTGAGGAACTTCCACTACAAGTTTCTGCCCGGCACCTGGACATGTACTGTAGCTGGATGTAGTGGGCAGACGGGCGTGGAGTCGAAGATTGATGTTTTCCGAAGCAATTTCGACCGATTTTGGGGCTTGACTCATGACCGAGCGACTGGGGGCGCAACAGGAGGCCGAAGGAGGCAATAATGCCTTTGTTTTATCAGGTCTACCACCCTCAAGCACCGATTGCTAAAAACAAGCCCCGAAACGATCTATGGAACCTCAGCAAACAGGTCCAGCATGGTCCAACGAACATTTTTTTGAAGCGTCCAGTGTGCAGAGTTTTGGGCATTGTTCCGTCCATCCACTGAAGCAAGACCACAACCAGTACAATACAGATATCTTGAAGAAGATTGCTATCCCATGCCAGTTCAGTACTTGTTAGTTTGGGGGAGGTGTAGACGCTCATGACCACTTGCCAGTCCACTTGCCATTTGTCAAGAAATTGTGCTTGATCCCTTCCTCCTTCATCCGCTGCCTTTCTCTTTCAGGGCTTTTAAACCATTCACAGGTGAAACGCGTCCACCATGCATGTTCCTCCTCAAAGTTCAGGATGCTCAGGCGCCTGGGACAAACTGCACCGGTTTCTCCACGAAAATCCAACAAGTATCAACAAGTGGAAAAAGGTTAAGCTTCCTTTGAAGATGTTCCGCCTTCTGCCAGTCCCCTTTGGCCAGTTCTGCCAGTCCCCTTTGGCCCAGGCCGCCTAGCTCCGCCTCACCCCGTTCGTTCTTCCGCGCGGGCGCAGTGTGGCCGGCCGCGCCTCGTTCGTCCAGGCGCTGCATCGAAGGCTTGGAGAGCTCAGCACCTCAACTGCGGAGTTTGGACCTCTCCTCGTCCGGAGCCCTGGTGACGTGCCGCGCAGTTTCAGCGCACCGAAGAAACGCGAACCGAGACGTCAGGCGGGGTGAGACCAGACGCACTTGGTGCTTCCAGTGGCCAGATGTGGTAGGGCCGAGGGTGAGGTAGGTAGCTGTTGGGTCGTGACAGCTGTTGGGTCGTGACCACTCAGTGGCTGTAAGGGTCGTGACGACCTTCCGATCACACCACTTGGTCGCTGCGACCTTCCAACAGGCTGCCGATAGATCAACGATCAAGACCTTCAACAGAGCCCAAGAACCATCAAGAACCTCTATATAATGATGCAACGTGACAACAACGGAGGCGTTGAAATGGCTCCTGGTAGGGGCCCAGTCCTTTGACAACCATATAGACTCTCTTCCTCTTTGGATCCCGGGGATCGTAGACCTGTCCCATGCATCGACGCATGAAAACCGCTCGGCGATCCACGGATGGCGACCATCGCCAGGAACAACATCCGTGTCATGGAGAACCTGGGCGCCATGCCGAAGCTTCGAGAGTTGAAGTTCGGCTCCCAACAGCTTAGACTTAGCGCAAACAAGTTTTTGTTTGCGCGGCGCGCGTTGACATATATACTTATGTATTTACCTAGCACTTCCAATGGGTGCCTTGTCTGGAGACCTACAAGTAGGGTAGGATTGTCCAGCCCGGTGACCCGTTGGAAGCACCTGTAGGTAACTGTGTATGTCATTTTGGGCAGGGAGGATAGGGAGGGGGGAGCACAAGTTTGGGGGGGCATTTGGGAGGTTAGCGTTTAGTGATTGGGCCGCAGCCAGGAAGGTGGTTAGACTGGCGGTATTTGTTGTTGCAATCAGGAGTCAAGAATTCAGAGCAGTTGAGGCCACAAACCCTTTGAGCTTTGGTGATGTTCATCCAAAATTGGTCCATGATTGGAGCTCCACACACTTGGAGTTGCTTTTGGTTTGCAGCCCGCAGCAATATCTGAATGTACTGGAACGTTGTATATCCACGTCCAAGAGGATGTCATGAGGATGTCATATCACATATCACATGTTCTTTTTTTGTTTTGTGTGTTTCAGCCGAAGAGGCGCCCCGTGCGAGCTCCTATTGTTCATGAGTTCTTGGGGGTTCCAAGTTGGTGCGGTGATTGGGTCAGCCTCGCACAATTGATTGGTCAAATGAACCGAGCAGCTTCACCGTTCGCCACGTGCTTCGGCCACTTCGTGTAGCAGCAGCTTCGCCACCAAACAAGCCGGGACGAGACTCCGGGACGAGGAGGACCGTACAGAGCGTGGTACGGATGTGGATGGAGGGTACATGGTGAGGACCGTGCAGAGCGTGGTACCATGATGTGGATGGAGGGTACATGGTCATGTTTCTTTTTTCATATGTTGTTTCATCGCTCTTGCATGCAGATGATTCCCTTATACTTAATCGTCTTGATGGTGTAAGGCTGGTGGTCTAGCAAGCCTCAATTCTGGAGGACATCACTCTATGAAAAAAGCGGAGACTCCATCAGTTCCTGTAAGAGACCTTCCTCATCCCAGCAAAAGATCATGGACTGTTATGTGACACCCTTCCCACTCTCCGTCATCACAAGAGTTGCAGCCTACTGCACGCTGCGAAACCTGACTCGTGTGTTAGCGACTCAGAGTACACCATTCTGCTGGGTCAACAACGACAACAACACACACACAACCTCTGCCGCGGTCAAGACAACGATCCAAAGGTAGCCCTCCTTCCCCGTTCTCGCAGCCGGATCTACCCATTCTTAGTTTCCCCGAGTCCGGTCGAACAGGTTTCCACACACTTTCGTCAGTGGATGCTTGGCACCTTTTTATACCTGTCACGCTCACCTCCTGCACCTGTGCCGCCGAGGCTGGACTCCTGCCAGATTTCCCGGATTTCAGGACTTGAGAAATGCCCCAGCCATGCGCTCGGACGAATACACAGCACTGAGGTGAAGCACTGGGGCGAATGCCCAGACACTCCAGACTATGGAATCCCAGACAATCAATGAACTATGTGTCCTCCAATTTGGGATGGTGTTGATATGCTTTTAGGGTCAATGGGATGGTGCATATTCCAGATTACATGGATTCTTGGGGGAATACCTATGCCAAACAACCCCCCCTTCATGCTGTCCTGCCAATCCCATGCAGTTTCAGGGAATGGTTTGCCTTATTTTGGATCCACTGGTGACCGGACCTAACTCATGCGCAACTGTGGCAACGTAGGAGTTGTCATGTGTCAGGATAGTAGGAGTTGTCATGTGTCCGACGATTGCACGAGGGTGCACCCTGTTTTTGGCCTACAGTTCTTTGAACATGCATGAAGCAGGGGTTTTGGGAAAGCAGTGAACACCTCTTGAATCCAAATGGCTGAATTCATCCTTACTTGCTGCTTCCAGACATCTCCGGTCTATTTCACATGGTGCGCACCTCCAAACAATTGGCTCCTTTCAAATGGACACATCGGGTCCTGCCACTCCTGTGTCTTCTTTCGCACTTCTTCTCCCGTGTCGACCACCGAGGCTTAGTGAAGTTGCATTTGGAAGACAATGAGATCAGCTCCATCGAGGGCGCGGAGCTCCGTCGGCTCCGGAGCGCTCGGCTCGGCTGTGACCGGCTCCGGACGGTGGTGACCGGTGGGCTGTGGAGGAGACTGTGGTGGCGTCGAAACACGGAGGAGACCGTGTTGGCGACGTGGGTTTTTGGAGTACAAAGATCTATAAAGAAACAAGGCCTCCACAATCCTCCGCAGAGGTGAGAATACAGATGAAAAACACATGGACACAATATATATATAGATATAAGCATCACCCCCAAAAGCCGCATTTGCTCTACGTCCAGCGGCATTTATCTAAATAAGGGTGTCATGATGACCTACGCCAAAAGGGACCAAGATGGGCAAGGTTGCTTAACTTTTTGATATGAAGGTCACTCTCTAAGTGAGTTCTATAGTCGCGACATCCCACGACAAAACCGGATCCGATCCCAAGCACTTTTCCCATCGTTCCTGTTCCTCAAAAAAGACACATCCTCACCGCCCTCACCCATTCACATTCCAAAAGACCCCGTCCTCACCCCTCACCGCTGCCTTTCAGCACTTCGCTCGTTCCGGTTCTCGGGGTTGACTCGGACGAACGGAGCCAGCCATTCGGCGAGGTAGGCGGACCGCTCGGACGAAGGGCGGGTCTGACCGGTGACGCTACTCGGTAGGCTTAGAGAAGCTCTTCTCACTGGAAGTCTTGAATCTGGAGAGGAATAAGTTGTCAAGGCGTGGAGTGGTCCGGCTGTGCGGCGAGAGGGAGGAAGACAGTATGGAAGAGATCCTCCACATCACTATCTAAAGGTCCATCAACATCCATCAACATGTTCTGCCTTTATATATGCTTTCTTGCTGAGATGGGTGAGAGCAAGGTTCAGTCAATCGAGCTGCTTGACTTGTCTAATGAGTGACATTTCATCGGATATTAACTACTGTTTGTAAAGAGGTTTCCTGTGGGATCGATGTCATTTCTTTTTGTTTGGGGCCACTAGAGGATGTTAAAAGGCCGAAGGACGCCGCCTGAAGATATGCTGTAGGTTGTCAGCTGGGGACATGACGGGTGCAAGAAAGCATGAGTCAAGCACTGACTCCCCAGAAGTCTCCTGATTTGCCCAATGCAGGTGTGACAGGCCATATTATGGAGACCTGTGTCACACTGTGTGCCGTGAAGGACAAGCCACATGAACCTGGACTGTTCCTGGTTTTGCTTAGGATATCTTAGGATGATACTTAGGATAATCTCAGGATGCTAATTTTCTTTGATGAGTGATTTGGGGAAATATCTTGTTGACTTTCTTCCCACCTTAGCAAATTCCAAGGTCGACTGGATAACCGCCGCCCCCTTGTCGCTTTTGTCTTCGGTCGCTGTGCGATCCGAGTTCCCACGGCAAGCCGCAAGCCTCCGGCGAGGTTGGGACGAGGCTTAATGAAGCTAAGCAAGTTGAAGGAGCTTGGAGCCCAGGAGTGCGGTGTGTGGTGCTGTGTGTGGTTTTTCTCGAACATGCTTTCGTGCAGTCCTTGGGGCCTTGGGACATGGGAGGAGCTCCGTTCGGCGAGAAAAAGCAGTGCGGACTTCGTCCGAAAAGCCATTGGGACTTTGGAAGATGGTGAAAGTCGATTCCAGGATGGAGTGTCAACTTAATGAAAAGAGAAGCGAAGAGAGTTTTGTCATCAATTTCATCCTGCAGCACTGTGTTCCACTGCACCGGCATGTCGGGGTTCACCTTCCTCCAGACTTGAAATATCGTGAAATCATGTTGATTTCACTGTGGCTTCACCTAGTGCCACCAATGTACAAGATGTCAGGATCAGATCTTGTGCAATGTGAGGATCAGGCTCAATGTCAGAAGATCTGTGAGGGGCGACGTTGGGGCAGAGACGATTTTGGAGCCTGCACACCACCTCGGAAACGTCCGGAAGGATATAGACGTAGATAATACAACATCATGGCCATGGAACAGTGGAAGACATTATGTATGATTTTCCTGTGCAAGGTTCGGGCCACCACAAGACTCTATTGGCACCCTGGTACACCTTTCTGTGAACAAGTTGTCCCCAGGTTGTATCATGCAGATCCCAACCCTCCCCCCCCGCACACACACACACATATTCGACAACAAAAATTACAGCATCAAACAATTGTTGGCTTTGGGAGGGGCAGAATAATATTTTAAGTTCTCTTCAATGCCCTAAGCGGTACCCCTCAACAAATTCTTACGTATCCATCTTATCCCATGTCCCCCCGGTGGTCGCGCCGGCACCGCCTCAATTGCTGTCCTCGAGGCTGCGCATTGCGTTGAACGAGTTGACCTCGCTCGAGGGTTTGCAGGGGCTTGGAGCTTTGGAGGCGGCGAGGGCAGACTGATGGAACGAGACAGAAAAGAGTTAGAAAAGGAAAAACATGGAAAAACATGGTAGGATCATAATTAATGGCATAATATGCTGGGTAAAAGCTCCAACTGCAAATATGTGCAAATTATGGTTAGAATAATGGTAATTAAGTAAAGAGTGATCACGTTTCAAGGATTGCATATATCGTTTCTATCTACTTCTTGGGTACCGGTATGGAGGGTCCATAGATACCTCCACTTATCTCCACGTGGGCGCACACTGCCAGTTCCAATCATTTTGCCGCTGGTTGAAACACACAAAACCTGGATCAGTCAGACCTGTCAAGTGACCATTACCCACCCCCAAATCCCTCACAGAATTACCCTGTTTTCCGCTTGGAGTTTCAACCAACCGCCGAATCAGCGAACTCCGCGACCCCGTTGGAGGTCCTGGACGCGTCGCGCAACCAGTTGGAGACCTTGAGCATCGAGCAGTTGAAAGGCGCGCCATGCACTGGTCAAGCGCGGTTCCGCGCTTTGGAGGCCCCGACCTGTTTGAGACTGGCATATGAAGGGACATGACATTGGACGTATTACATTGGGGTGCTGGAAAAAAGAACTGGTCCATGTATGGTAGACATGGGAGTGTGAACTTTCGGGCATGGCGTTGCGAGTCGCGGCCGTCGCTGGGCCTGTCTTTCACTGCTGGAACGGCCAAGAACATTTGGGATTCGACGCAAGAACCATCAACGTTCGAAGCGTCGCATGGTGTCGAAATGGAAGGTCTGGGGTTGTCATCCGTGATTCTTGACATGATCATCCGTGGCCTGCACACGCACTGGGCCCCAACACCTGGGTTGTCATCCGTGAAACTCACGCCCAACACGCCCAACGCGGTGTCCGCGGTGTGATGTGTCACCGTCTCCGTCGGTCGATCCATCGACCGGAAGGTCTTGGAAAAATGGACGAGCTGCTCTTGGCAGGAGAAGAGAGACGCGTGACGCGTCGTGGGTCGGTTCGAGTCGCGGAGGGTACAAAAAGAAGACCGAAAACGCCGGAGAGAAGGAGTTTTTCCTGGAGGGTCCGTCCTGGGTGTCCTGTTTGGAGATCACTAAGTGCATTGCTTTGAATCATATGAGTAGGAACGCGATTGGAAAGGATTTCCTCTCCAAAATACCCCTTGGACATCTCAGTCAGACTGGTTTCGCCTAGCTATTCAGCCAAAAACTAGGCTGGACACCTAGGAAACTGGGATTTCCTAAATTCCTCCCTAATGGAGATCAATGGAAAGGGTGAACCTCTTAATCAATCATTTGGTCATGGCAGGTCACAGTGTTACGTCAATGGCTCGAGACGCCACACGTCCTCCGTGTGTGTCGTGCGTGTTTTCACTGAACGTGCTGCGGACCGATCACTTCCCCACCGGGTATTTCTGCAGAATCGGAGGAGCAGCAGCCTCAACCACCGAAACAGCGATGTGCAGTCGACCCAAAGCTTCCGCACGAACTGCTCAACTGTAGGGTACGAACTTTGCTCGAAATCATCGGCTCTGTGTTCGAGTACGTTGGGGACGTTCTTTTGTCTGCCAGGAAACCAATTGTCCAGCCTGAACTTCCTGGGAGCCGGAGGCCCTCGTGCGGAGCCTCAGAACTAGAGAGCCCGCTAGATTCGGTGTGGGTTTGGGTTCGGCAGGCAGCCGAAGCTCACATGGTTGATCATGGTTCAAGATATTCCAAGATTCTGTTGAAGGATCGAACTGTTTTTTACACGCAAAACATCGCAAAAAATACCTTTTGAATCTCTAAAAAGGCAGATGCACCACCAGTTTCCAGTTCAGCCTTTGTGGGAATTGAAGACGCTCCGCAGATGGGGATCCTTAACCTATAGCAGTAGTGAAGCACCTGAAAAATCCGAGAGTTGGGCGTTTTTTGAACCTGTGACCCAAGAACAGACCAAGTTGGGAACCTGGTGAACTGTTGACAACAAAGGTGCTTGACTAAAATGAGGTAAATTCAGTATTAATTATATATAATATATGTGATAGTATATTGTCATAAATATTATGACATGCAGAATACCGACATGTAAAAAACACATGGAGTGTTTGGGCCATGTGCTACACACCATGTGCTACACATAACACACAATTCGCCACCCGATCCTTCGCCTTGTTCCTCTCCTCGCAGTACGGATCTCATCCTTGGACGTCTCAGACAACCAGCTGAGCACCTCTGCCGTGAAAGGCGCGTGAGCATCGTGAAATGCGCGTGATGGGGTGGGGCCTGAGCAGCGAAGCATAGTGAAGCAACGACAAGCGATGCGGGTTTTGATGGGGTGTTCCATGGGTTTGGATGGTGGACAAGTGACGGGGAGTTGATTTCTTTTATTAGTGTTTGTTTATGTTTTGCATTTTTCAGCCACCCAGCAACCCTTCGGTTTGTGGAGGGCTATGTAGTTATGCTGCATAACTTATAGCACCACTACATTGAATATTTCCGGTGAACAGCGAGGATAAGCCAATTGACGTTTGGGGACAGATTGAATCACCAACCAGTACTGCAGAGGGGAGGAGAGACAGAAAAAGCAAAGACTATATATCATAATATATCATAATTACTTGGTGGTTTTATTCTATGCAATTGTACTTAATAAATTATACTTGTAGGCCATCGGCTAGTTCAGTTCCTGCTCTAGTTGACTTGCGGCATCCCAAAACCTCGCACCTGGCCCATGACTTAGCATCGCACCAGTGCGCCCTGGACCGGCCAGGTCTGCCAGGTCTGCCTCTTCTCTCCGAGTTGATGCTCGCAGGGAATCACCTCGAGGACCCCGGTGGCACCGCGCGGTCCGCGCGCGGAAACCTGGCGGAGGCGTTGTCGTGACCGCCTCAGTCGGTGTGGCGCTCGCGCTGGAGTGAAGTGGCCCGGCCATGTAACGCCTCAGAACCTATGCAGCATGGTTCGTTCAACCTGGAGCCCGACCTGGCCATGTTGCGAAAGACCTTCCAGGTCTAGTCAACCAATACCCGGGGCTTTCACCGAAGGGTCGGAAGCGCCGACAGAGTCCGCAAGTCTCGTTGGGTCTGAACAATCGAGCCGAGTGGACACAGGAACGCACCCAAGCACTTCCATGGGACTGGCATATAGACCGATCAGTTGGGGTGGTTGAAAGGATTCATGTAGGCATATATGCCGCATATATATTCATACACGGAGTGCTTGGGAAAGATCTGTAACACCCATGCGCCTTCCTGTTTGTAGGGGCCGGACCCTCAGATGGAGTCTCAAATTCTTAGGTTTGCATGGGCTGGGCATGGCGGTGCTCAGGAGGTTCCAGAAATTGATAGATGCATGAAGTCTCCTGTCACTCTTTGATCCTCCTCCAAGCCTCCTCTTAGGTTCGTTCATGCCATTCAGGAGCTACCTGCAAACTTTGCCAGCAGCAAGTGCCCTCAGAGGGAGGAGAGGGATCAGTTTCTGGGTGATTTCAGGCGTCCGTCGCAGCCCGTTACGGGCATGAATTGTTCCATGACGTTTTCCCGATGTGGGGATGACTGCGATCGCACGCGTGGTCGCCGGGGATCAGAACTGGGGCAAAGTGATGGGCCATTGAGAGACCTTGCTTTCAGAGATGAAACCGCTGTGGTCAGGCAGTTCTCACTTATACTTGGAGAGAACTGCATCTCAAATGCCTAGAGATTTTGACAGCCCAAGTGCCCGTGTTTGTTTCGCGTGTTTGACAAAGATTGCATCATGGCAGCACAGCCTGAAGCGCAGAAGCAGCCTTCGTGGTGGCAGAGGATTTTTACCACTGCACCAAGAGGACAGTACGCAGTGGATGAGAAGCAGCAGGTGGTCAAGGAGAATGAATTCGTCATCATGCGCTGGAATTTGTGGCCAGGGGCTGTTTAGATATTGCATGTTTTAACTGCAAATTCCCTTCATTTTTTGTGGAAAAAGCATGTGCTCGAAGCGGAAACGCACGAACTAAGGTTGTTCTTGATCTTCGACTCCTGGCATCGATTCAAACGTTCGATTTGATAATATGTTGTTTCCCCTCGTGCAAAAAACATGTAAACCCGACTCACGAGATGCTTCGCTGTGTTTCACACCCGGTCTCCAAGCTTCGCAGTTTGCGATCGTTCGCGTTGTTGGCACGGTCCTTTGCTGAGGACTTCATCATCATTCCATTGCCCTTGTGGATTGACATCTTTTGCCCCATCTTCGCGGCAGTCTATGGCCTTTTTGTAGGATGGTTGGGTGCCTTCCTGTTGACGGTATGCGCCTGGCGTTCTTTGGAGGCCAACTATTTGATGAATAGGGTGGTGGATGACACTTGGGAAGACAAGATCCCGCGCAACACCGATGAGGAGAGACGTTTGGCGGATAACTTGCAGCACTTGGTGATGATGTGTGGTTATAAGGAGCCTATGGAGGCGACTCAGATGAAGTTTCCCTGCCAGGCCAAAACGGAGGACGAATTTGGGCGATTATCGCTAGGTCGCTAGGTGTTTGAAATTGTTTGAAGATCCTCATATACAGTCTGTATCCTTTCACATCCCTCTCAGGGTGTGTGTGAAATGTATTCCTCCCATTTCGACTCCCTGGAAGGAAACTGTGGAGGTTGCACCATAACCGCTTCGGCCAAGGGGGCAAACCCTTATTCAAACACACACGCACTGAGATCTCAATAAATTTAAGGTTTTGTGGTGGGTTTATGTTCCAGTCCCAATTCCCAGCGCTTTCGCTACTGCGAACCCCTGTGTGGAGGGTAGGACTTCGAGGCAAGCATTCCTGACACATGCTACTGGCATGCCGCAGCTGGGGGGGTTGAAAAGGGTCGAAACGATTTGCCCTCGGAAACCGACTACGTCAGCATATCATGTACACTCCCACTCACTAACATGGAAATGGACGTTCTGGCCCCAGGGGAGACCATTTTCCACTACAAACAGGTGGTTTTCCACTTCCATGTTGTCGTCACGTCATTCACTCCCAGGTGATTTGCCAGTCCATTGACTCCTTGGCCGCACAATCCGCGGCGCACCGCCTCATCGTGGTCATTGGCCTCGAAGAAGGCCAGGCCAGTGGCGGACCTTCGGCGCTCAGAAATCTACACATGTATGGCGTAACGGATCCCCAGTTGGGGATCTTTCAGGTGACGTGTCCCACTAAGTCGGCATCATCGTCTTCGGGTCGCTTCGATACGACCAACACCCTAGGGTGGTCATGGTGGATCCACAGGTTTACCCGGTAGTGTTGTGGACATCTTAAAGTGTTATGGCGCAGGGTTGATCTGCGCAATCAACCTTGCAGTTTTCGTCTAACTTTCTGAGCCAATGGACACAGGTCCGCGATTTGTATGAGTCTGAGTCTAACAGTAGAGCAGTCTAACAGTCTGAGTCTAGCGTTTAAATTCAGGTGGTCATTCTTTGGGATGACTTATATAAATATCCTAAATGCACCTTTGACGGTCCATAGAGACACCTATAGGTCTTGGGAGACGTATATATATAATGAATGTACGCCCCCGGAAATTAAGACGACCGGGGTTGCAGTCTCTT